CGCTCATTTCTCCCGTGTTATTATCCAAGTTAAGGTAAACTTGAATAATGTACTTAATTTGAATGTAATAATTATGTTGGTTGTTGTTTGTGGAAGCGCATCATGTATTGAAAAATGAATCTGAACTTTTCGATCCGTTACTATTATAAACTGAAGCAATATAAAAATGAGCCCCATTAACTGAGTTTTAAACATCACTTTAAAGATCCCCATAGGCCCCGCCCACTCGATCGGATCGGCGATCGGTATCGGCCGATACTGATTCCGGCGATCGGCCCCAAAATTGGCGTTCGGAGCATCCCTAATTGTTGGGAATTTTCCCTCTCCCTGTTATATATTATGTTGTGCATGTAGGGTGTTTCTTTCCCACACACTACCCCAAAGATAAACACTTTTGTGTTGCGTCAGAAGTAAAAGACTCCTTCATTGAACTACAAATATAAAATAACTTGCAATGTTCATAAAGCAACACACTGCAGTCTTCAGCTTTATACATTTTGAGTGCATTTCATTTTCCTCGATGATGTCACCTCACCTGCCCCAGGTGTCCTGTCCGTCACAGGTGAGGGGGCGGAGCTCGTCGTAAGGGAAAGCGTTGTCAAGGTAACTGTTGTAGGCATGGTAGAACATGGATTTGATGCGCTGTCTGCAAAATGAAGCAGAGAGAAAACTGGTTAATTATAGATTTTTTATTTTAAGCCTGATATTCATCGGTTGTTTAGTTAATTCAGAAAAAAACTTTATTGACAGAGAGGCTGGGGACAAAAAAAATGTAAAGCCTATTGATCCAAAATCATAATTTTAATAGTAAAGGGATCTGTTTAATGCTCAATTAAAGATGTATCTTTTCATTCTTTTAAGTACATAATGCATACCTTTACTATAGGTAAGGATTTTAATGCAGTACATGTAGTTTAACACTTCAACATTGTGGTTTGGTACTTTTATTTGTGTATTTCTCAGGATGTGTTGCAGTGTTACCTGACTGCATATATGATACAATGCAGTAGGGCTGTGCAATTAATCGTATTTTAATCGCAATTACGATTTTGGCCTGCCACAATTACGAAAACAACATAATCGAAAAAAACAATTATTTTGCTTTGCTAGGTTGTGACAGTGCAACATATTTGATCTAATTAATTTTGGTCTCATTTATTTGTATTTATATATGTTTAGTAGCTTGGGGAAGTGCGCTCCAAAATATTTGTTGATCTTATTTATTGGTATTTATTATTTTTGATATTATTTATTTAAATGTATCATTTATTTTATGTATTTTTGTATTGGTTTTTCAGTTGAATTATACGTTCAGGGTAATCAAGAGTTAAAAAGATACTGTTCAAATTATTATTTGTATTTGTTTTAAAGTTCAATAAATGGATTTTTTCAAAGTCAATGAATAATCGTATTTAATAATCGTGATATCAATTATTGACCCAAATAATCGTGATTATGATTTTTGCCATAATCGCACAGCCCTACAATGCAGTACTGTACATCAAATATACCTGATATTTTACAAAGTAAATGGTTAGTAAATTGGCCCCACATTGAAAAACTAAAACTTTTAAGGCTCCTACTTATATTCATTAGTCATAAAAACCGGATAATATAATATTATTTAATAATAGTATAGTGTTGTAATTGAGTACATTTTGCTGATAATACTGATGTACTTCTACTTAAGTAACATTTTACTTGGAACAGAGTATTTTAAAATGGCATTTGAACTTTTATTTAATTAGTACAAGATCTGAGTACCTCTGTGCACAATTAATACTTTACCTTTTCATTCCTTTAAGTACATAATGCATACTTTTTACTAAGGATCTGCAGTACATGTAGTTTAATATTTGGCTTTGTGGTTTGGTACTTTTGTTCCTGATGTGTTGCAGTCGTGTTACCTGACAGCAGCCATCTTTTAGTAATACTTTTGTACTTTTACTTGAGTAACTTTTGCAATGCAGGACCTTTACTAGTAACAGAGTATTATTACACTCTGGTACTTCTACTTTCACTCAAGTACAATATCTGAGTACTTCTCCCGAACAATGAACACTTCATCTTTTCATTATTTTACACAATGCATACCTTTACTAGGTCATTTGAATGCAGCACATGTAATGTAGTATTTAGACTTTGTATTTCTCAGGATGTGTTGCAGTAGTGTTACCTGTAATTTCCCAGTTTGGGATAAATGAAGTATCTATCTACCTGACAGCAGTCATCTCCTCCTCAGTGAACTGACGCGCATCGCTCAGCAGCCACACAAGCACGGTCACGCACACGGAAGCGCGCATGTAGAGACACGAGTGGACCCTCGGGAGCAGGTGAACACTTTATGAAAAATCTAAATATCACAAATAAAACGAATGAAACACACGAGCACAGGTGGGTTTCTGCTGTTGTTTTTCTTCTGTCAGGAAGTGAATGATGTGCGCATGCGCCGTGCGGTTGCGTTGACGAGGAAACTGAGCTGCGTTCAAGAACAAAGCGTTTATTTTTTCACAACGTTGGTGATTTTAAAATACGACTGATAAACAGAGGAGACTTTTATAGGATATTAGATAACTGATAGCATGACAAAACACGAGTTAGCTCCTGTTTTGATGGTAATGCCTCCAAAACAACAGTCATTTTAATACGTTTTAGTAGTTAGAGCTGCGTTCAAAACAACAACGTTCAATTAATGTTTATTAAAAATACATTCATGACTCGAGTCTAGTTAATCGCCTATCTACAGAGTTGGGAAGTAACTGAGTACATGTACTCAAGTACTGTACTTAAGAACACTTTTGATGTATTTGACTTGAGTATTTCCATTTAACGCTACTTTATACCTCGACTAAATGCATCTTGGAAAATGGTACTAGTGGACCAACTCTAGGTCACAAAAGAGTCAAATTATTTAAATATTTAACAAAAAGTCAATCAGAACTTTGTTTTTCTTCAACAATAAAATGCTACTTGATGCAACAATATTATCTAGAAATGTCCCAAATATAAATACAATTATAAACACACATAAAGGCTATTTTTTTTTGCACAATGATTACTTTAACTTATTAAACTTGAAGTACAATTTGTACTTTTATCTAAGTAAAATTGTGAATTCAGGACTTTTACTTGTAATGAAGTATTTTGACAATAATGTATTGGTATTATTCAAGTAAAGCTTCTGAGTACTTCTTCCACCACTGCCTATCTGACACAATGTCAACTAATTATGCAAATTCCTTCCTGTTTTATTGCCTGAACAAATCAATAAGTGGTTACAGTCAAGTACATTTTTTATTTAGTTGATGAACTATTTCAGTTTACATTTGTGTAGCTAACAATCTTAATTCAATGAGAGAAATCCAATGATCTTCAATAAGATGCACATTAATTTATTTGTGAATTATGTCCTCGAACAGCTAAAATCTGAGATGACGCCAGCTCACTTTACATATGTCTGTATTAATGTCTATTTGTTTATTTTATTTTAAATATCCTACTACTTATCTGGTTATCACTACTGCACTCTTTTACTCAAAGGTGGGGTCGGTAAGTTTGAGAAACCGGCTCGAGATACACTTTTTGTTATATTCCATGGAATGCTCTTAACATCCCGATAGCAATGAATATCTTAAGTGCTTTGACAAAAAATCCATAAAAAAATATAATCTGTGGAAGCCGTAGTACTGTAAAAAGCACGACCAATCATTTTAGCCGGCCGGGCTAAAATAACTGGATGGCCTACCTGCCTGTCAGCCTTCCATCTGTGCACAAACTTATCTCGTGCCCTCATTGGTCATGTGCACGTTCGTGTGTGTTGGAGGAGGGGCTCTGTAAGGAAGTGGCAGATTTTTTCCGTCTGTGTATTTTCAAATTCTAGCCACTCGAGCTGGTTTCTCCAAAATTACCTACCCCACCTTTAAGTGTAAGAGTTTAAAAATCTGAATCCGAATAACTTTATTACTCCCACAGAGGGAAAAGCAAAAGTAAGGAGACAAAATAGCAAAAATATTAAATAAGAGATATGCACTATAATAACAATATTAAACATAGAAATTACACAAATAACAATTTATAATTCACCCATCCAAGTACAGTAACAGTTTAAAAAAAGGATAAGTGTACCATGTAGAAGTGCACATATGATATCCCACAAAACTATAGTTTTTGTTTTATTACCACCTCTGATATAATAAGTATTGACACTTATAATATCAGTTTGACTTCGTTAGACGTGTGTGTGTGTGTGTGTGTGTGTGTGTGTGTGTGTGTGTGTGTGTGTGTGTGTGTGTGTGTGTGTGTGTGTGTGTGTGTGTGTGTGCGTGCGTGTGTGCGTGCGTGTGTGTGTGTGGTTTTATTTCTTGAATGTTTAGAAAGTAGGGGAACGTTTAAACTTTGTTGAAAAATAGCTGTAACAAGTTTTTTTAAAACAGATCTCCAAATGGTCTTTTCAGCTGTATGGTTATTATTTGCCTAATATGCAAAGGATTCTTGCCTCTGACCAATTTGTAATCACAATTTAAATGAAAAGTCAATTTATAGCCTAAATGTGTGTGTCTCTACAGGGCTGAGCGCTGTCTCCTCACATGCTGAACGTCAGTACCATTTTGTTTCTGAAGCAAAGACCATGTCTGAAGCACAGAGATACTGCAGAGAGAAACACACAGACCTGGCCACTGTAGACAGCATGGAGGTTGTGGAGCTCCTGAACAACATGGCAGGCCAATACAACCAAGTGAGGTCACTTTTCTCTGTCTTACAATTCAAAAGAATTACATTTCTTTTAGAGTCAAATTTAAAAAGGAGAGATTATTACAGAAAGCTAAACCTGTTTTAAAGTCCTATGGGAACCTGAGTATTAAAACAAAGTTGAAAATGTTTTAAGCCAAAGCTATAGCATAAAACCCTGTAATAAAGTGGAAGAGGTTCAGAGTAACAAGGCTGTAAATGAATGTTGACTCGAGGGGATTCCCATCAGATCACCATGTACCAAGGCTGCTCTCATAAAGGCACAACAAACCTTCTCTTTATTAAACATACACATTTTCTTAAGCAGCAGCTTTAAAAGCTTCAACAGGATGTAATAATTATAACAATTTCTTGCTTTCAGTCAGCCTGGATAGGGCTGTACGATGACCGGGACACCTGGAGGTGGTCGATGTCAGACCCAAGCTTCTACGGACCGGGGGAGACGGAGTTCAGACCATGGGGGGATAATGAATCAGACTACAAAGGATTCTTGCCTCTGACCAATTTGCATGGAGCCAGAGGACGCATCAGACTTCATGATGCATCATCATGAAGTCTGATGCGTCCTCTGGCGCTTATATTCAAATAGCTGATAATATGAAACACTATCCGCGTTAAACACTTGCAATCTGAAGCCACACAATAAACCAAACAAAGATGGACGTAGTTGTGATGCTGATCATGGCTGCTGCAGGCAAGTGTTTTATGTATTTGGATATATTTTTATTGTTTTATACCTGTACAAGTTTCACGCCATGTGGTTGAAAAATGATATTAAATGTGATGTGTACAGATGACTGCCATGAGAAAATTAGCTGTAGAGGACATTTTTGACACTAGATACACTGTTTGAATAAGTGTATTGTAGGCTAGACATTTGTCATAATGTGTTTATTAAGGTAATCACAATTTAAATGAAAACTCAAGTTATAAATGAATGTGTGTGTCTCTACAGGGCTGAGCGCTGTCTCCTCACATGCTGGACATCAGTACCATTTTGTTTATGAAGCAAAGACCGTGTCTGAAGCACAGAGATACTGCAGAGAGAAACACACAGACCTGGCCACTGTAGACAGCATGGAGGTTGTGGAGCTCCTGAACGACATGGCAGGACAATACTTTAAACGCTAGATCAGGGTGTTCATTTTTAAACACATTTAATGTTGCTTTCAGTCAGCCTGGAAAGGGCTGTATGAGGACGTGGACACCTGGAGGTGGTCACTGTCAGACCCAAGCTTCTACAAACCGGGGGAGATGGAGTTCAGACGATGGGGGTCTGGACAACCAGGCAACACTGTGACAGAACGATGCTCAATGATTTGTTCTCCTCATGGACTATGGGATGATGTTGTTTGTGACAACCGCTACTGCGCAGTCTGCTGTGAGGTCACAGGTAAGAATATTAATTTCAGATGAATTTGAAGCTTCTGAAAGTATATTATTATTATTATTCTATATCTGACAAATGGTTCCCAAACTTTTTTATATCTGAACTCTTACTTATATTTAAATTCATGTGGAGAGACCGTTTAAAAACACTTTCAGATTATAATATCATACATGTTTATTTAATACATGTGTTCATTTATTGGTGTAATTCCTTATGTCTAGATGATTTGAATGTAATATTTTATATTATAAAGGCATCAATACCACCACAGATGTGTGATTGATGTCAGGCTGTATGTCGTGGTGCCTCTACTCAGCACTTCTCTGGGGTCCATTTTCAGGACCGAATGTGAGATTTCTCTCCACTGATGGTGTAATGACATGGACTGAGGCCCAGAGCTACTGCAGAGAACACCACACAGACCTGGCCAGTGTGAGAAACCCGGCGGAGGAGCAGCAGATTGTTGAGCTGTTACCTGGAGGGATATATTGGATCGGCCTTTACAGAGACTCCTGGAAGTGGTCCGATGGAAGTTTCCCCTCCTTTAGGTACTGGGCAGAAAATGAACCTAAACACAGAGCTTTTAAGGTTTGTGTGGCTGCAGCTTTCCATGACTCTGGAAAATGGGAGGGCTTGTACTGTGGGTTGAAGAAACCATTCATTTGCTAAGGACGTGAGTAACACGAAGATTCACTGTTAAATTCCATAATTCCGTCAAATAAGCTATAAAGAAAACAAAATAATTGTACATATAATTCATTTTCACATTGTTAGGGATGCTAAATTAGGGAATTGGCTTCCATAACATGAGGATTTGATGCTTTATTTCATATATTGTCATAAAAGTCATATGTTTTGGGATCAGACCAAGTTTTCTTCCTGTAATATGTAAGAATGTCTTCCAATGATTTCATTAAACACAATTATGCCGTCACCCAAATGGGGATGAAAACTTGAAGCAATTTCCCTAAAGATATTTATAACTATTTTAATTACTGTAACAACTTCTAGGGGGAAAATATTAATTATTGCTTTTTCTATCTTTCTAAATATTATGATTTGATGCTCCTTTTTTTTGTCATATATGATAATATATATATATATATGTAATTAATTAATATTTTGCTGTTTTTAAAATAGAAATGTCCTCATGAAAAGCACTTTGGGATGCACCTTGCATGAAAGGTTCCATATAAATAAAGTAGTTATTATTATAAATGTCTTTCTAAGGTTTAATTTTTTCAGATCAAGTAAAGGCAACGTGTCTTGATGTCATTGCGTCTGTTACCGTGGACACGGAGTAGTCACAACACTCCTGACGTTAGCGTGCTAAACAGATCTTCAAACAAAACCCTTTTTATTTCTGTTTTGGAGAACTGAGAAACGGCTCTGGTGTCCTTGTGTTCTTCCTGCCCTGCCCTGCTGTGTCTTGTGTTTGAGATTAGTTTTGCATGCTCATACCATCCTTACAGTGTTAAACTCTAACCAAAAGTAAAGCTGTTTTACTGTCAAACTTCTTTATAGTAAAGTACTGTTAACAGTTAATTGTGAATACAAAATGAATTATTACAGGGTGATACAAATTATATCATAACGTATAGACTTAAGGAGCAAGTATTGATTACCTTTCATTTTGATACTTTGAGTACATGTTCCTGATTATAATCACAAAATGCAAGTATTTTAATTGTAATGTGGTATTTTGACAGTGTTGATCTCATCCAAAGAGAACATGCGTATTGTTCCAGGTTTAACCTCTGGGTAGTTTTATTGTGCTGCTTTGACCTTTCTTACTTTATGCAAACAGAGTGATTTGAATGTTATATCAAAGCAAAATCAGCATACCCAAATGAACACTCTCAGATCTGATTTCAACACTTTGTGTCAATGGGTCCACACCACATAGTGTACATTTAACCCTTTTTGCAGAGTAGGAACCTTAACTACAATTTATTGTAATTTTTAACTCTATTTGGAGATCAAATATATATAATATAAAAATAATCACTATGAAGAATAAACTATATCCAATAAAGAGATGTTATTTATTTGAATTGTTTATTCAGTTATTTCTCACATGTTGGATTATTGGCTGGTATTGGTTATTGGCCAGAATGGTAATTTCCCTGATTTTAGACAATTTATGGCCTCCTGATTCTCTATATAGATATAAAGATATTTGTTCTCCTTTATTCAAGAAAATATATATTTACTTCTAAACGTGATTTTATGCGGGGTGGAGGGAGTTAAATATTAGTTAAATATAACATTAGTGCGTGTGATTGTAGTGTGTGTGTCTGTGTGTGTGTGTGTGTCTGTGTGTGTGTGTGTGTGTGTGTGCGTGTGCGTGCGCATGTGTGTGTTTGTGTGTATTGTTATTTTTCTTTGTCTAAAATTAGTAATTATGTCAATACTTAAAGTGGAATTTGTACAAATGTGTGTTTTTTATGAAATGTGGTTGCTTATGGTAATATTCTTTTAATTTAAAATACAGAATACCTTTGATCATATTTTGTTTTCATCCTATCCAAAGAGAGGAGATGTATTGTGCCAGATTTAGCCTCTACTTCATTTCTACTGAAGGAAGCATCTGCATACTCCCTCAAAACCCTGAATGTGCCTTTCTAACTTTATGCAAACTCGAAAGGACTTTAATATTATATCTGATTCCTTAAAACGACATGAGTGAATGGGAATGGACGCTCATCGCTCTTTGGGTCCGTAATACAATAAAGGGGACATGATCAAATAGGAATATAATTATCTTTTAAATAACGTTAACTAAAGGGAACAATCTATTTGACACAGCTGAAGCTCTGGCCTTCCTTAAAAACTAACTCATTTAATAAAAATCACAGTTGTATTACACACAATGCACTGTTTTTTGAGAACAACAATTCGTAACTAATGCACCATAATACATTCTGATGAAAAATAAAAATGATTATGAATACAAATAAAATAAAAGAAGCCTCCCGTGAGTTACTACAAGCTATAAAGTAGATTTTAAAAACGTTTTATAGAATAAAAGCTCAATGCTGGACGTTGTAGAAATGCGTGTGTACAAAGGAGCCTCATTCACTTTACATTGGGGTTGTTTGCGTGGTGCCGACACGTAAATGTAGCAAAGTTCGTGACTCCACCACGCACTGCGGTGTTAAGGAGTCGTGGTGGAGTCACGCATTCTGGTGAGACCAGGTTGGTAAATAAATAGTTTTTCGGGGTTTGGGTGTTTTGTTTGATTTTAAATAAACAAAGTGTTGGCTTTCAGAATATGAAACTTTTATTTCCAAAATCACACGATAAATACATTTTTTAAGCTTGTAAAGGGAAGATGACAGGCACCTCTCACTCGCCACTCTGCTCTTCCTCAGCGCCGCCCCCCTCCCTCCGGCTGAAATTATGAATGTAAGCGTATACTGTAGTAATCATAGATAACACCGCAGGGCCCGTTACAGTTTGTTTTCATCTGATTTCAAATAAACAAAGTCTTGGCTTTCAGAATATGAAACTTGTTTCGGCAAATTCAGATGATAAATACAACTTTGAAGCTTGTAACGGCATAATTACAAGCGGAGAACGGAGTAACTTAACGTCACAGCAGGCATAACAACAGCCGGTGTTTCTCGTGAGTGTTTTCCCCGGGAAACAAACACAATACACACAAAGACCAGTAATCCAAACGAAAATATTTTCCCTCCGTACTACTTTGATCATTTGCTCCGCTAATAATCAATCAGATCGATGGATAATTTTGAGAAAAAGGCCTTCAAAGTTTCCTCTTCTCTGAAAGAAGAGGAAACTTTGAAGGCCTTTTTCTCAAAATGATGACTCGGTGATAGTCATTATATAATGTGACATATTTCGCTTAATATTTGGAGTACAACAACAATCCTGATATCATTAGAAAGCTAGGAATCTCCTCTTTCTAACAGTGTATACAACTCAAAATGTGTCTTCGGGTCAATGCGACTGATTTCGATAGAGCAGGTCACATATACACTTGGTATTAAGATGGTTTTTGAATGGCTGCCAGAGTTTATGTTGTTCATTTCACTCTGTAAGTGATGTTGGTCACCACTGTTTCTGTCAGGTGTGAACCAGGCTACCCACTTGAGTTTGAAGGATTTTTAAAACAGTATATTTATAAATAACTATCACTTTTGTTATCTGACTTGGTTTGGACTGACCTGTTAGTCTTATTCACTGTCAACAAAAAAGTGTGTGTGTGTGTGTGTGTGTGTGTGTGTGTGTGTGTGTGTGTGTGTGTGTGTGTGTGTGTGTGTGTGTGTGTGTGTGTGTGTGTGTGTGTGTGTGTGTGTGTGTGTGTGTGTGTGTGTGTGTGTGTGTGGTTTTATTTCTTGAATGTTTAGAAAGTAGGGGAACGTTTAAACTTTGTAGAAAAATAGCTGTATCAAGTTTTTTTAAACAGATCCCCAAATGGTCTTTTCAGCTGTATGGTTATTATTTGCCTAATATGCAAAGGATTGTTGCCTCTGACCAATTTGCATGGAGCCAGAGGACGCATCAGACTTCATGATGCATCATCATAATAGATTGATTTACTAGCATAGTAATTGGTTTTATTAGACTGTCAATATGTGTTTTTATGAAGTTGGTGTCTAAATCATCTGCATATAGCCTTAGAACCTTTTAACCCTAAGATTATATTTTTTACCTCAACCTCTCTGTTACCTTTCGCACCTTCAATTATATTGATGAAAAAGTTTGCTTTGGCCTGTCTTATTGTTTGAGTTACCTTATTACGAGCATGAGTACATTTATGTCTGTCAGTGGATAGTCCGGATTTTAAGCTCTGCTTTAATAGTTGGTCTCTAGATTTAATCAAATTCCTGCACTGTAGATTCAGCCAGGGAAGATGATGTTCCTTCCTGTCCCTAACTGACCCTCTCCTTGAGAAGGAAGACATTGCATCATTAATTTGAGATATAAACAGATCACTGTTTTCACCAATGTCTTCAGAGGACAGAGTGTCCCCCCAATTAATCATTTTCACTGCCTCCATAAAACGTTGTTGCAGGTTTTTGGGGATGAAGCGTGAACCCAAGGCAGGGGTTTTAGGTGTGGCCATGAACAGGGGCGGACTGGGACTATAAATCAGCCCGGGACTCTCGACCGGCCCACTTCGGTACCGCCGGCCCACCTCGGTACCGCAAGTTAATACCGCGAGGAAATTGTCGACGGGGGGGGGGGTGCTAGTGACTTATCCGACCGGCCCACGTCGTCCGACCGGCCCACTTCAGTACCGGCCCATCGGGATTCGTCCCGAACGTCCCGATGGCCAGTCCGCCCCTGGCCATGAACCTTTTGTTTGTGAGTTTCCTGGCAAAAAGAACAAGATTATGGTCAGAAAGACCAGTCAGGAAGTTGTAGGTTTTAACTATTCTGTCAGTTTTGTTTGTAAATAATAAATCTATCATAGTCTTGGAGGTTTTGGTTATTCTAGTCGGTTGATCCATTAGTTGTATTAAGTTGTGTTTATCCGTGATCCGTTTTATGCTTTTTCTATTTTGTCTGTCATTCCAGTTGATATTACAGTCTCCTAAAATAATTAGCTCTTTGTTGGAGTCACAGGAATTCAGCAGGAGTTTTACCTGGTCATAGAAATCCACCTTAGCGGTGGGTTGTCGATACAGGCAAATCATGGTGAGGGACATTTCCTCAGATAGTGTGATTTCCACACCAACACAATCAAACTCAATATTAGCTGGGAGTGCAATCTCCCTACAAGTAAAGGTATTCCTCACATAAAGCAACACACCCCCTCCTTTTCCCTTCAGTCTGTCCTTCCTAAACACATGATATCCTGACATAGATACAAGAGTGGATGGTGACGAATGTTTTAGCCAAGATTCAGATATTCCCAAACAGTCAATATTGGACTCAAGGAGGAGATGTTCTAGTTGTTCATGTTTATTGCAGATGCTGCGGAAATTTAAATGTCCACTGAATAGTCCCTTCGGCTTGCACCGAAGATCCCACACTATTTTAGCTTGATTCACTGTTTGAAACATTTTTGTGCAACAGTGTTTTTTGAACACAGGATTTCTAGGCTTTACCCCAGTGCCGTTGCTGACAGTGGAGCAGTCAAAGCTAGCTGGTGTTTTATGGATCTCGGCACGGAGCCATCGGCGCTGCAGTCCTCCGATGGTGTTGCCATCAGCGCGAGACCACCGAGACCCGCCGGCAGAGCTAGCTGTTCAGCTAGCCGGCTTCTTCTGAAGCCAGTCCGGTGGTGTCCGGTGGTGTCCGGTGGTGCGGTGGTGTCCGGTGGTGTCCGGTGGTGTCCGGTGGTGTCCGGTGGTGCGAGAATCTCCGCTGCTAGGCCGCTAGCCCTCGGTGTGGATCCGTAGGTCTCCGGTGGTGTGGAAGTAGGGCTGTGCGATTATGGCAAAAATCATAACCACGATTATTTTGGTCAATGATTGATATCACGATTATTAAATACGATTATTCATTGACTTTGAAAACATCCATTTATTGAACTTTAAAACAAATACAAATAATAATTTGAACAGTGTCTTTTTAACTGTTGATTACCCTGAACGTATAATTCAACTGAAAAACCAATACGAAAATAAATGATATCAAAATAATAAATACCAATAAACAAGATCAACAAATATTTTGGAGCACACTTCAACAAGCTACTAAACATATATAAATATGATAAATACAAATAAATTAGAATAAAATAAATTAGATCAAATATGTCCCAACCTAGCAAAGCAAAATAATCATTTTTTTCGATTATGTTGTTTTTGTAATTGTGGCAGGCCAAAATCGTAATTGCGATTAAAATACGATTAATGGCACAGCCCTATGTGGAAGCTATCCGTCCTCCTCTGAAGCCAGCCGGCGGTGTGTGGATCTCCGCTGCTCGGCCACCAGCCCTCGGCGTGGACCCGTAGTCCTCCGGTGGTGTGGGTAGAGGTCCTGCTGCTAGGCCGGCAGCCGTCGGCGCGAGACCGCAGAGACCCGCCGGTGGTGCTAGCTGCTCAGGATGGAGGTTGTGAAGCTCCTGAACAACATGGCAGGCCAATACAACCAAGTGAGGTCACTTTTCTCTGTCTTTCGATTCAAATGAATTACATTTATTTTAGAGTCAAATTTAAAATCGACAGATTATTACAGAAAGCTGAAAACAGAGTTGTAAAAAATATTAAGCCCAAGCCAGCGTAAAATACTGAAATAAAGTTGAAGAGGTTCAGAGTAGCAAGGCTTTAAATGAATGTTGACTTGAGGGGATTCCCATTAGATCACCATGTACCAAGGCTGGTCTCATGAAGGCAAAACATGTCTCTTTAATAAACACATACATTTCCTTGAGCAGCTTTAAAAGCTAGATCAGGGTGTTAGTTTTTAAACACATTTAATGTTTCTTTCAGTCAGCCTGGAAAGGGCTGTATGAGGACGTGGTCACCTGGAGGTGGTCACTGTCAGACCCAAGCTTCTACAAACCGGGGGAGATGGAGTTCAGACGATGGGGGTCTGGACAACCAGGCAACACTGTGACAGAACGATGCTCAATGATTTGTTCTCCTCATGGACTATGGGATGATGTTGTTTGTGACAACCGCTACTGTGCAGTCTGCTGTGAGGTCAAAGGTAAGAATATTAATTTCAGATTATTTTGAAGCTTCTGAAATTATATTATTATTATTCTATATCTGACAAATGGTTCCCAAACTTTTTTATATCTGAACTCTTACTTATATTTAAATTCATGTGGAGAGACCGTTTAAAAACACTTTCAGATTATAATATCATACATGTTTATTTAATACATGTGTTCATTTATTGGTGTAATTCCTTATGTCTAGATGATTTTAATGTTATATTTTATATTATAAAGGCATCAATACCACCACAGATGTGTGATTGATGTCAGGCTGTATGTCGTGGTGCCTCTACTCAGCACTTCTCTGGGGTCCATTTTCAGGACCGAATGTGAGATTTCTCTCCACTGATGGTGTAATGACATGGACTGAGGCCCAGAGCTACTGCAGAGAACACCACACAGACCTGGCCAGTGTGAGAAACCCGGCGGAGGAGCAGCAGATTGTTGAGCTGTTACCTGGAGGGATATATTGGATCGGCCTTTACAGAGACTCCTGGAAGTGGTCCGATGGAAGTTTCTCCTCCTTCAAGTACTGGGCAGAAAATGAACCTGAACACAGAGCTTTTAAGGTTTGTGTGGCTGCAGCTTTCCATGACTCTGAAAAATGGGAGGGCTTGTACTGTGGGTTGAAGAAACCATTCATTTGCTACGGACGTGAGTAACACGAAGATTCACTGTTAAATTCCATAATTCCGTCAAATAAGCTATGAAGAAAACAAAATAATTGTACATATAATTCATTTTTACATTTTTAGGGATAATAAATTAGGGAATTGGCTTCCATAACATGAGGATTTGATGCTTTACTTCATATATTGTCATAAAAGTAATATGTTTTGGGATCAGACCAAGTTTTCTTCCTGTAATATGTAAGAATGTCTTCCAATTATTTCATAAAACACAATTATGCCGTCACCCAAATGGGGATGAAAACTTGAAGCAATTTCCCTAAAGATTTGTATGACTATTTTAATTACTGTAACAACTTCGAGGGGAAAATATTAATTAATGCCTTTTCTATCTTTCTAAATATTATGATTTGATGCTCCTTTTTTTTGTCATATATGATAATATATATATATATATATGTAATTAATTAATATTTTGCTGTTTTCAAAATAGAAATGTCCTCATGAAAAGCACTTTGGGATGCACCTTGCATGAAAGGTTCCATACAAATAAAGTAACTATTATTATTAATGTATTTATAATGTTTAATTTTTTCAGATCAAATAAAGGCAACGTGTCTTGATGTCATTGCGTCTGTTACCGTGGACACGGAGTAGTCACAACACTCCTGACGTTAGCGTGCTAAACAGATCTTCAAACAAAACCCTTTTTATTTCTGTATTGGAGAACTGAGAAACGGCTCTGGTGTCCTTGTGTTCTTCCTGCCCTGCCCTGCTGTGTCTTGTGTTTGAGATTAGTTTTGCATGCTCATACCATCCTTACAGTGTTAAACTCTAACCAAAAGTAAAGCTGTTTTACTGTCAAACTTCTTTATAGTAAAGTACTGTTAACAGTTAATTGTGAAAACAAAATGAATTATTACAGGGTGATACAAATTATATCATAACGTATAGACTTAGGGAGCAAGTATTGATTACCTTTCATGTTGATACTTTGAGTACATGTTCCTGATTATAATGACAATATGCATGTATTTTACTTGTAATGTGGTATTTGGACAGTGTTGATCTCATCCAAAGAGAACATACGTATTGTTCCAGGTTTAACCTCTGGGTAGTTTTATTGTGCTGCTTTGACCTTTCTTACTTTATGCAAACAGAGTGATTTGAATGTTATATCAAAGCAAAATCAGCATACCCAAATGAACACTCTCAGATCTGATTTCAACACTTTGTGTCAATGGGTCCACACCACATAGTGTACATTTAACCCTTTTTGCAGAGTAGGTACCTTAACTACAATTTATTGTAATTTTCAACTCTATTTGGAGATCAAATTAAAATTATATTTGTTCGTTTTTTCTCAACACAAGATAGTTGTTAACCACTGTCACTCCCATATTTACACTGTAATGTGTAAACAGAGGTGGGAAGTAACTAAGTACGTTTGCTCAAGTACTGTACTTAAGATATAATACCAACTTTGATAACACTTTAATGCATCAATAATTATAATCAAAACATATAATATATCTTTTTCTGAAATGGGCCAATCTGCAAATGAGTACTTTTACTTTTGGTACTTTAAGTATATTCTGATGCCAATACTTTTCTACTTTTACTTGAGTAACATTTTGAATCCAGGACTTTTGCTTGTAACAGAGTATTTCTACACTCTGGTACTTCTACTTTTACTTAAGTACAAGTTCTGAGTAATTTTTCCACCTCTGGGTGTAAATAAGCGCCATAGATCTTCTTCCTTGGGCCTCTCTTCCATCCAGCCGTTGGTTTAACTTGTCCCGACCGAAGCGTGAACCTTTTTTTCTTTGTGTCCAAGAAAGACCACTCTCTGCGCGCCTGCATTGTAACAACATCACCATCAAAAACAAATATGGCCTCTCATCAACTCAGCCTTCGAACCACTACAGGAAGCCACCATCTTCTCAAAACTCAACCTCAGGAACGCCTACCAGCTGGTCCGTCAAGCAGACAAGTGGAAGAGGCCCCACTAGGCCATTTAGAGTATCTAGAGATACCATTTGGACCAATGCCCCAGCTGTCTTCCAGGCTCTGATGCACGATGTCCTCCGTGACATCCTGAACCGTTCAGTTTTTGTGTATCTTGTTGTCATCTTAATATTCTCACGTACCATGGAGGAACACACCCAACATGTGCAGCAGGTTCTACAAAGGCTCCTGGAAAACAAACTGTTTGTCAAAGCAGAAATATGCTAATTTATTTTGGATTCAGTTGATTTTCTGGGCTACTTCATCGAGCCAGAGCAGGTGAAAGCAGACCCAGAGAAAGTACAAGCTGTGGCACAATGCCCCAAACCTTCCAGCAGGATGCAGCTCCAGCGTTTTTTGGGGTTTACACATTTTTGTTGTCGATATATCAGAGACTGTCGTGTGGCCATTCCTCTCAACCAACTCACCTCCCCAGCAATCCATGTCTTGTGGACTCCCCAGGCTGATCCTGCCTTCTCAGAGCTGAAGAGACATTTCTTGTCAGCCTCTATTCTTACTCATACTGACACATCTCTACAGTTTATTGTTGAGGTAGATGCTTGAAGACTGACAACTGCTGAGCGCAACTATGATGTTGGCAACAAGGAGCTGCTTGCTGTGAAGCTTGCACTGGAAGAATGGAGGCACTGGCTGGAGGGCTCTAAACATCCATTCCTTGTGTGGACACACCATAGGAAACTGGCCTACATAAAAACTGCCAAATGATTAAACTCTTGTCAAACCTGCTGGGCTTTCATTTCTGGCAGATTCAACGTTACCTTTACCTATCGTTCCGATTCTAGAAACCTACAAACCTGTTTTTCCTGCGGCAGCTGAAGAAATTCAACCTGCCAAAGTCGATGATGGTTTCTACACCACCATCATCGAGTCCATCCTCACCTCCTCCATCACCATCTGGTACGCTGCAGCTACAGCTAAGGACAACGGAAGGTTTCAGCGTATCATCCGCTCTGCAGACACAAACTGTTTACCCCTCTCCCCTCTGGAGGAGGCTGCGCTCCATCAGGACCAAAACCTCTCGCCACCTGAACAGTCTCCTCCCCTCTGCTACCGGTCTCATCAACAAGGACCGGGACCCCCACGGACACTGACTTCTACCAACCCCAGAAAAACATTATGTATTACATTAAGTCACATCGTGCGAATCCTACAAATGTGGTGCACATTTCTTCTCCACACTACCTCTTGTATATCAGCACAGCTCTCCACTTTGGATATAGTACAGAGTATCTTTCATGTTTTATTTGACTGTACCCAGTTTCTTAGAGAATTATATTTTCTTAAAAGTTTTTTTAAATAGCTGTTATAACAGTTCTATTTTATTTTTATTTTGTTCACGTACATATTCTTCTTTCTTCGTCTTTGTATGCATCACATAAACCAAAGCAAATTCCTCATATGTGTAAACCTACTTCAGAATTCTGATTCTGATTCTCAAGTCCTTTTCTGCGACTGGGTCCTGTATTTAACATAACCCGAACAATTTGCCTATGCAAACATCTGTTGCGTCTGACCTTGCATGAAGTTAGATGACAATAGCTTACTCAAAGACATTCATGAGAAACACTATGAGCTGTAACAACAGTTGCAGTCAGAGAGCAAACAACGATGGACGTAGTTCTGCTGCTGATCATGGCAGCTGCAGGCAAGTGTTTTATATATTTGGATATCTTTTTATGTCTTTATTGATTATTTCATGTAAACCTGAGGGGTGGGGAGATAAATAACTAGAGAAGACATTTCTGATTCTATTTGACAATTACTTGTTTTGCATTCTTAACACCTTTTATATTGTTTGAAAGGTACTTGCTTAAAAACAACTAAATGAAGTTCAGCTGAAAGCTACATATTTCACTGTGAATTGTTTGAAGTAGAAGTCAAAATGTATAATGATGCGCCATATTACAGTAAAGTGTGATTCAAAAAGTCAAGTTATAGCCTAAATGAATGTGTGTGTCTCTACAGGGCTGAGCGCTGTCTCCTCACATGCTCAACGTCAGTACCATTTTGTTTCTGAAGCAAAGACCATGTCTGAAGCACAGAGATACTGCAGAGAGAAACACACAGACCTGGCCACTGTAGACAGCATGGAGGTTGTGGAGCTCCTGAACAACACGGCAGGCCAATACAACCAAGTGAGGTCACTTTTCTCTGTCTTTCAATTCAAAAGAATTACATTTCTTTTAGAGTCAAATTGAAAAAGGAGAGATTATTACAGAAAGCTAAACCTGTTTTAAAGTCCTATGGGAACCTGAGTATTAAAACAGAGTTGAAAATGTTTTAAGCCAAAGCTATAGCATAAAACCCTGTAATAAAGTGGAAGAGGTTCAGAGTAACAAGGCTGTAAATGAATGTTGACTTGAGGGCATTCCCATCAGATCACCATGTACCAAGGCTGGTCTCATAAAGGCAAACAAAACCTTCTCTTTATTAAACATACACATTTTCTTCAGCAGCAGCTTTAAAAGCTTCAACAGGATGCCATAATTATAACAATTTATTGCTTTCAGTCAGCCTGGATAGGACTGCACGATGACCGGGACACCTGGAGGTGGTCGATGTCAGACCCAAGCTTCTACGGACCGGGGGAGACGGAGTTCAGACGATGGTATCCTGGGCAACCATACAACAAGCACAATATACCATGCACATTGTTTTATCCTGATCGAACATGGCATGATGGTGATTGTAATAAGCGCCTCAAGGTGCTCTGCTTTGATGTCACAGGTAAGAATATAAACTTTAAATTAATATTACACATTTAAAATCATATTTTAAGCTTCTGAAATACAATGCATTGGTCTTTATCTAACTAGCGGTTCCCAACCTTTTTTCTTTGTGACTTTCTTTCCTGTGTTAGCAGTTCCACTAAAGACATTTCCCTTTTCACTCAAATTCTCACATGGTTTCATCTGAAAGATAACATAAAAGGAAATGATGTATATACATTTTTTTGCAAACTTGTTTTAGGTACGTTTTACATCTTATACATCTGTACTAAACAGAATAAGAACAATATAGAATCAATATAATTTGAATGAAGCTTTAAC